TAAATCTGTTACAGCTTTGGACTTTAGACTGCAGAAAAGAGGGCAGAAGAGAGCTCTGGGAGAGCTGGCGCGAGCACTTCTGCTCATTTTGGGGCTGAGTGGGGGAAGGGAGAGCGAGAGCCTGGGAGGCACAGCCAATCAGATGTAAGGACACGTCTGTTGCTTTGTTTTGACTGGTCACATACATTTCCCATCATTTCCCTCCAGTCTCCTCAATGCCACAGAAACATTCAATATTCTCAGCCTGGTCTCATATGCAGTGTATTATTCATTTAGATGTTCAAAGGTATATTGCTTTCAATAGAACGGAGCATGTATATTGCATTTCAGACAGCCTTGAGTATAAACAGTCAGACGGAGTCTATGGAGAAGAATTCAATCGCTTCTGTTCAGTCTTAAAAAGTTTTTTTGACACTGAACTCCTCTGAACCCCACTAGAATTATAATGTACCGTACTTGTTTGTGTTTGAGTCTTTAATGAGAATATTAACTTCAGTCTGAACATTTTGACATTCTGATCATAACATTCTTTGAATACATTTGATTATACTGAAAATTTAATATACTGTATGAGGATGGATGATTTTTTTGTTGTTGTTGCTTGAGGGAAGTATAAACTCTTTTTACACAAAACTGATATCTCAAACTATAATTTGAATTAAACAGCAAAAGTTGTATCATAGATAGAAAGGATTGTGCAATTGTGATGTAAGTTCAGAACTCTTTTTCCATCTCTAATAGGAAATATTAAGTGGGTCAATGTCATGATATATATACGTATATATATATATATATTTTTCTTGTCAACATTTCTCCATTTATTCAAATATGTGATGTACAATGACTTTACATTGACCTCATGATGAGCATGTTTTCATTTTTTATCTTTGTTTTTTGAAAGGGAGTCCTAAAGTGTATATATATATATATATATATATATATATATACACGTACCTAATTATAAAACGGTTATCTAACAATAAAAAAAATATTAAAGTAAAAAAAAATGTATATATCTATTAGGGCTGTCAAATGATTAATCATTTGATTAATCGCATCCAAAATAAAAGTTTTTGTTTATAATAAATGTGTGTCCACTGTGTGTATAATTATATTATATATATAAATACACACACATGCTTGTATATATTTAATAAATATTTTCATGTATATACTGTATATAGATTTATATATAATTTATATTATATATAAATATAAATATTTTATATTTAAATAATATTTTTTTCTTAAATATACATTAGTACATGCATGTGTGTGTATGTATATATATATATATATATATACAAAATAATTATACACAGTGCACCCACATATACTGTATTATGTAAACCCAAACTTTTATTTTGGATGTGATTAATCGTGATTAATCATTTGACAGCCTAATATACAGTAAATATTCTTTTTTATTTTATTTTTTTAAGAATGATATGATATGCTCAAAATACAAGTTATGATATGCTCAAATACAACTGTTTTTACCACAACACACAACATGTTTTGACCTTTTCTTAAAAATGGTATAAGTTTGTCAAAATTATATCAAACCAACATAACACAAAGAGTAAAAGAACTGTGTAACGCTGTTTTCCATTAACCAAACAGGCACATTTAGGCCACTGTTGGATTAACATAAAAAAATTGGCCTTTTGCTCGAACCTTTGTTTGTTTTCTTTCCCTTTGTAACAGTAATGTTGCCATAGATGCGGATGTTTTGGATTTGTCAACCAATGGACAACTCCACATGGATTTTTGGTCATGGACTCTAGGTTTGTTTGGGGATTTTTTTTTTTTTTTTTTTTTTTTTTTTTACTCTTTGGACATTGAACCAAGGGGATTTCACAGTACACCTCTACTGTACTACTGCTTTTTGGGTTATAGGTCAGCATTTTCTGCCCAAATTAGTGGAAAAATCTGCATAATGCATTTAATCCCGGTTAACCTGTTTAAACCGGGTTAAACCCGGTTAACCGGTTTACCAAACAGAACTGAAACCATTCACATTAGGTGAACTGGATGGCAATATTAGGGCAAAAAAAAAAATCTCACAGTTACAATAATTTTTGGCATAATCCAGCACAGAGCTTTGCAAAGCAGCGCAGTTTAGATCCTCAAACATTATGGTTAGGGATTTGTTCTGAACCACATGCTGTTAAGAAAGACACATTATCGTCATGGAAGTAAAGTAATTAGGACATGTAAGGAGAGTGGGGGATAGAAAAGGAAAGAAAGCAACAGCATGAGAGGGAGAGAGACAGAGAGAGGGACTGTATCATGGTTTACCCGCTGCAGTGGCAGGCTGTGGCCTGCAGACTCTGGGGCTTTTATGGCTGTGGGAAAGGCCAGCAGGTCACCCAAATTTCGTCAGACATCATTTTTTTTAGAGAAAGCCATTTCAGCATATTTTTTTCCCTCCACATGCCATGTTTACTTTCATCCACTTCCCACTGTGTGGCTCCACTGCAGTCTGGGGAATATGCGCTCTGCGCTTGTACACCCCTTCCCTGCCTTTGCCTTTGGCTTGAGTGGGACGATGTCCATGCTTCAGGGGCTACATTCACACAGAATATACTTGGTTCTTTTTTAGAAAGACAAATACATTTATGTTCACGCATAGCGCTGTTATGAATGATATTATACATATAACTTAAAACTGAATTGAGAGTGAGTTCAGTTCAGCCTGTGATACGTGAACAGAAACCAAATATTGATTTTTAGATTAATCCAGTCTTCATTTGAATGACTGTGCAGATTTGAGCAATCTCTCACTAGGACAGTTATCAATTCACAAGCTAATATCTCTTAATGAGTCAGTTCTTTTTATTGAACCAAAAACTTGAAGAGTGGCCTGTGTAGTCCGATTTACCAACAAATGACTCTTGTTCTTTTTAATGAATCAAATAAATACTGTGGACTCTTTTAAAGGTGCAATGTGTAAAAAATGTGAATATCTATTAACAGAAATGCAATATGACATCCATAACTATGTTTCAGTGGTATATAAAGAACTTACTTAATTAACTGTAATGTTTTTATTACCTTTGAATGAGACATTTATATCTACATAACCCCCTTCTATGAAGGTCGACATATGTCATATGTTTTGAAAGACGATGTCCTGTAGCTTACTGATGTAAATAAAAAAAATAAAAATTAAACAAAGATGTGATTATGTCCGACCAAAAATGTGATTTGGGTTTTTAGTTGGTCGTAGAGTGAGATATATATATACTGTATGTTGTTAGTATCGTGAATTTTTCGCCTGTGTTGCGTATGTACTGTAATGGTCCAGTGGCGGAATTCTTGCCAAGCGCGTCAAGGGTTCTGGGTTCTAATCCGCACTTGTATAGTTTATTTCCCCTCATCAAAACCGATGAGGGAAAAAATATCAATCATATCAATATGCAACCACTGATAAATATTATTGGTTTTGATGAGGGGGGAAAAAAACTATACGAGTGTGGATTAGAACCCAGAGAAACAGGGACACTTGTGTGCATTTTGATTTGTGATTTCAGTGGAATGTATAGAATCTCCGCAACGGATTGAAGACAACGCATTTCAGCGCTAGATAACCTCTTATTTAACAAACAAATGAAACAAATGCTGCTACTTAACAGATGCTGAAACTTAATGCTGCCCCCCCCCCCCATATAACGTCAAAATCCGCCTTTTTAGGGTACCCTTAAACGTCGGTTACATGGCGATCCCGGGCCGTCATACAACTGACGCTTTACCTTTAACATCGGTTAGGTGACGGGGTAGGTTTAGGGGTAGGTTTAGGTCTGGGGTAGGGTTAGGGTTAGGATCCAATAACGTCATCTAACTGACGTTTAAGGGTACCCTAAAAAGGCGGATGTTGACGTATGATCGAAAGACGTCCCAAGACGTTACAATCATGTCATTTTTGCCTGGCGCACCTTTTGGCTCATGCGGACGTTTCGAGTTTTAACCAAGGCTTTACGCTTTAACCAGCTCAGCCACTGTAACAGCTAATAATAGCCTGCTAAACTTTTACTACCCTGTTAGAAAACATATATAGTTGCATAGTTTCTTGTGGTTGTTCTCCCTCGCTGTATTTTGGGTTTGCTATGTGGGGTGAAATGTGCTGGTTACGTTTGTGAGACAATCAGCTGATTACTATTATTATATTATATATTAAGACCCTTGATCCTCACCTGACTATGGCTTTGTAAACTTTATCCATGATGTGGATGTGAACTGTAGTACAGAAACAGTGACAATGTTACAAACTCTTGGCTTACTCTGGCTATTCTCTGCTGTCCCGTTTTAGCCACCGTAGCTTCTTCGAAAGGGAGGGGTGAGCAGTGGGCTAAGCCCTTAGTGCAACTCGCTACCGAAGCACTAGATGTCGCTAAAAATCACACACTGCACCTTTAAAACATTTTTTAATGATAATTTCAAAAAGATGTTACCAATTTGAATCACTTTGAAATGTCACCCTGTATAATTTACAGCAGGGGTTTTAGCATTTTAATCACAACTGGGACACAGGTCATCAAAAATGTGTCGGAATATTTTGTTTTGTTTCATTCAATGGATTTTAGGTAAATCTCCACCTCACCCAGTGCTGTTTTTGTTTGTCTTATGAATATTCAATATAATATAAAAATAAAAAATAAAAACATTAAATTTAATCAGGAAAAAAAAATGTATCCTTATCATCAGACAAGAATTTAGCTGTAATATTCCACTAAGGCACAGCTGTATTTCACTGGGGCTTTTGCCCTAGTATAAAGGGTCTAATAACACCCCTAATTTACAGCATTACATGTAGTCATTTGGCAGACTCTTTTATCCAAAGCGACTTACATTTCATTTCACGGTAAGCATTTGATCAGTTCATGCATTCCCTGGGAATTGTACCTAATTAGGTACAGTTGAAACTTAATTGAAACTTGAAATTGGGTACAGTTAGGTACAACTCCCAAGCCACATTGATGTTTGAGCTACATGGATGCAACAAGCATCAATCAGAATCAAATCAAAACCAATTGGAATAAAAATAGTTTTGAGACATTGTGAAATTTTGAAAACTGTATTGCTCCCCTGCCCTAATAGCAGAAGTGTCCCGCTTGGTAGAATCCCTCCTCTCTGGTGTAATGATGGGACAAGGAGATAGACTTCTGGCGTCCTGCTGCCTTTTTTGGGAAAAAGGAAGAAGTGGCGATCTTAAGTTTCATAAGATGGGGCATGGCTTCAACTTGACTGGAAATCTCATTAGCAAACAACTCAGGAATAACAATGTGGTCGCTGGACTGTAAAAGTCAGGGGAGAATCAAAGAGATTCTTCTCACTCCCTCAGTTTGGAGCGCCAAAGCCCAGCTATGTTTCTGATTCCATATCCCCATGGACATTAATATTAAAACAATCTCCCTCTCCGAGAAGCGGCATTAATGACCGGCGAAGTAATTATCCTTTCGGCGAACCGCAATCTCGACTTTCTCGGCTCATGTGAAGAGTGGCGGTGAGGAGGAGACCCTGCGACCCAGGCAATGATTGTACTTGGAAGAAGCGTGTAGTGCTTTGATCAGTTCCGACTTCCTGCAATGATGAATCTCTCGTTTGCTCTTGTCCCGCATTGAGGGCTGAATGCAAGTCTTTGGGGGCGTTAGACAAACAGCGGTTCGAGCGGTGGGGGTGAGCTTGGAAAGAGAGAGTGAAAAGCTCAGCAGCTGTTTTGATGGCTTACACAGATGTTTGTCATCCCTAAAGAGTGGAGGCTTTCCCACCCCTGCCCCTGCACCTCTCACAGGGTCTTGCACCTGAGAGCAAGTGTGTTCATGTGTAATAATAAAAGACAGAGGACGGGACTGGCCATCGAGCTGTGACTGATGGCAGCGTGGGGGAGGACAGCCACAGGGCGTCTGGAAAAGTGGGTTAACCCGAATCTGGCCCCACTGCCTGCTGCTGAGGAAAAACACAAAGACCGTCACAATCAGATACACGCAACAACTTATAAACACACACCAACTCTGTGTGTTTAGAAGTTAATACATGTGCCGTTTTGTTACTTGTTATCAGGCTGTTCTAAAAGAAGACTAAGAATGTACAACAATGTGTGTGATATTTAAATTAGCGTGTCCTGATTCATTTTATAAAAGAGTATGATGGTTCACTTGAGAACTATATATGTTAAAGGGATAGTTCACTTTGAAATTAATTTTTGATATGTTTTAGGGCATTCAAGATGTAGGTGTCTTTGTTTCCACAGTATTTTCAATTTTTATATTTTTAGGTCAAACCGTTCTTGTCTGTCAGTCATATAATGGTTGTCTATGGTCACCACCTCAAAGAGCATGCACAGAGAAGTCCAAATTAAACGTGATTTAATGACTCGTAAATGTAAGTACACGTTGATGGCCTAAGACACGAAACGAGCGGTTTGTGTGAGAAAACGAACAGTATTTATATCCTTTTTACCTCTTGTAACCACAACCACGTCCAAGTGATCTGAAGGCATGGGCGCTTCGGTCTGCGCAGGCGCCGGAAGTGATCTCGAAAAATTCAATGTTGTCTGTTGATATCTCGAAATCATCTTCCATTGCAATTTCCTGTATATCTAAATATGTTTAGATCTTCACAGTGAAGGGTAACACTGAAATCTTTGTGACGTACACGCGCGAGAGATCACTTCCCGGGGCTTTCCGGCGCGCTTGCGCAGACAGAAGCGCCCTCACCCTCAGAGTACTTGGACATGACTGAGGTAGAAACGATATAAATACTGTTCATTTTCTCACACAAACCGCTCGTTTCGTGTCTTAGGCCATCAATGTGTACTTACATTTACGAGTCATTAAATCATGTTTAATTTGAACTTCTCTGTGCATGCTCTTTGAGGTGGACCCCTAAACCTCCATTATATAACAAGAACGGACAAGAACGGTGTTATATTTATGTATATATTACCAAGGTAAATTCCTTGTGTGAGCTGATCATTTATTTCTGATACAATTAATTAAATATTTTTTATATAAATATTTATTGTATACTGTATGTATTTAATTTATAATGTCATTAATTTCTACAGTATTTTGCCTGAAATAAAAACAAAATACCATTTTTTTTAAAAGTGAATTTAGGCATCGTTATAATGTACACTATTAAAGATGGGAATAGATTTGCTAGATTTGATTATTTAAAAGTGCTATTTAGTTATTAGTGTTTTTAAAGAGTAACTTTAAGGGAACGGTAGATGACAGCAATTTTAATCTAAATGGAACAATAGATAAAATGGGCAGTACAATTAAATATATAGTATTTATTTATTTATTTTTTCTTTTATATGGGTCAGTACTACTAAATTGAAAAATATCTGGCTGATAACCGATGAGGTGCCAATAAATTGTGCATAATGGTTATTACAAATTCACTTCAGGGTTTTAATTGTTGTTTAATGCTAAAGTAAATGCATGTCTCAGACATTTCTTTTTGTAAAATAATCTCTAAGGAAAATGTCAGTCTCATGGATTCAATACATAAAAGTCATATATATTTTGCCCTTTTATTGTATCACTCAAACGTGGTGGGGGTCAGATGGAGACTGTTATATTGATCTGACAGATGTGATGTTGCCAAACCAGAAATCAATAAAGAGCTCCAGTAAAGCCATGTGTTGTGTCATTATAAATGCACTATACAAACTCGAAACTTGGTTTACTTGAAATGATAATGTGAATCGAATTTTAACTTCATCAAAATGATTTATTTGCTGTTATGTTTCATCTGAAACACATTGTGAACACACATTTACTAAAGATGCGGATTGTAAAATTTCAAAAGAGGGATGTTTGGCTTGCATTATCTGCACATTATTAAATGCGTCATTATTCAAAAGCATGAGCAGCACTTGATGCATGAAAGACAGCGACTGGCAGATCTTCAATGTACTTTCCCATCCCAAAAACACAGCATAGTTTTGCTGCATAGTGTAAGGTGAATTGGGACACAGTTTTATGAAACAACTAGTTATGACTCTAAATTCTATTTGGTTAGGCCACGTTTGAAGCCGTTGCAAAAATGCAGATGGTTATGTTTTTGTGCCAAGTCGCTTGGCAGTTGTAAGGTGTAAGTAACGTGTCTGTCCAGATTCAAAATGAAGAAAAATGTGATGTCGCAATGGCTATTATCATGTGGAGACGTAATTTAGACCAATTTTTATCTAAATAAACCAATACAAATGAATAAAAAAAAATCTTTTTTTGTATCGCTTGCCATGGCCGTGACTACTTAGGATTTATTTGATGTCAATTAACAATCTTAGGCTAATAAACCAAATAATGTGGTGATTTTTTTATGTGAATATTAATAAGAATAATTGTATCTATTTATTGAACGGTGGTATTTCTCTCATATTGCGATCTGTTTTGAGCCTCCATCATGGTATGCTTTAGCTTTTTTTTTTAAATGAATGACATCATTAATAAATCACTTTTGTGAAACAGATTGACTCTTTCTCTTAATCTCTCTTTTTCTTTCCTCCCCCTCCAGCCACCTCTCGCTCCCACGCTAAACGACACGCTCTCTGCAGCCAGAGGGTCTGGTCAGCGGCCCAACAGATGGTAGTTAATAGGCTGGTTGTAAAGATACTTATTATTTTGTTTCAGGGCTAAAAGGTTCCATCTCGCTGGTTGGTAATGTGTGTTATCTGAACTAAATCCGTGGTATTGTTCTACTGGCCATTTAATCTGGGGTTGCGCTCCCTGACTAAAACCTTTTTAACCCTTCCACACACTCGTGTATGTGCGTAAGACCCCCTCTGCCATCCTCATTAACCCCTGCCACCCCCACTGCACACTTGACCTTTAGAGCCATTCTCATATTTCTCACAAAAAAAATGAGAAAGATAAGAAAACCTCATTAGAAATGCAAGTCTGTAATGTTTTGCAAGTTGCTACCCTGTAAATGTACTGAAGGAATATTTGCTGTCATTATTTATTCACCCCTTATTTTTTAATTTTTTTGGTTAGTCTGTATTATTCTAAGCATGTAGACACCTGGGGCCAGTTGCATAAACATAGCCATTATGTTAAGACAGTACTAGTTTGACCAACTAGCAGTTATTTAGGGATAATCAAGCTTACTGTTCAGTATCAAATTAGACCAATGTACGTTTTTATGTAACTAACTTTAAAAAGTTATGAACAGTCTTGAAGAAAAAAATTGGATGACTAACTTGTAGGGTTGGGTATCGAGAATCGAGTATCGATTGGAACCGGGACTAACTTTTCGTTTTTCCCGGAATCGTTCAAAAGTAAAAATTTCGATTCCTAGTTTCGATATTCACAGTCCGTCGAGCGGAAGAAGAAACCACTGAACACCACCAACAAAGAAGCGTCTACCGGAAGTGTTGGCATAACCGTGCGAGTCGAACATGAGTAGCTTACGTCGGCGGTCAAAAGTGTGGCTTCACTTTTCTAAAAATAACGAAATCTCGGCAAAATGCAAAATTTGTGACAAAAGGAGTATTTGTGACAGAAGGAGTATTTCCTTCAGAAAGGATTATTTCCTTCAGAAAGAGCATTGGTTAGCAAGGTTAGCTAAACTTTTTTGACCCTGCCTCTTAAAAGAATCGGAATCGAGAATCGTTAGGAACCGGAATCGAAACAAGAAATCGGAATCGGAATCAGAATCGTTCAAATTCAAACGATACTCAACCTTACTAACTTGTAAGATTAGCACTTTATGCAACTCGCCCCAGAGATGCAAAAGGACATCAATATAGTAGCATCATTTTAAAAAAAGCTCTTTTGTATATTACATGCAGTGTATAAAATAGCTTTTTGTGAATATAAATGGTCAAAGTGTGGGACAAATAAAGTTATTGTCCCCTAAAAGAAAGAATCGATTGCCAAAACGAGTTAATATAGCATATGGTCATAATGTCATAATGTAGCATATATGGTCTTCTTTTGCAACGTCTACTTCGACCCGTTCTTAAACACTGTAGTTGCAGCTGATGCCTATAAGAGTTTGGTCTGTGATGTCGACGGGTCGAGATGATGCTAAATTTCAGTGTTGTGAATCCACTTTGCATGCATTTCGCACTGGAATTGATACGGAAAATTAAACAACACTGTCGTTACTGGTCTTACCAGTGTTTGTCGAGTGCTGAGGAATCCGGAGCTGAAATTCGAGTATTTTAATGATCGTTTCGTTTCCAAAAAGCGTTTCGAAAGCGTTATAAGCGGTAGACCAATCACAACAGACTGGGCCCTCTGAACAATCAGAGCAGAGTCTCTCAGAAAGGATAGGTTTAGAGAGACTGAATCTTCGAAAGAACCCTTTTCAGACTCTCTGAGAAATTAGATGATGTGTAATATAAATTATAAAAATGTTTTTAACCTTTGATGCATGTCAAGCCTACTTCACACTACATGATTTTAAAACGTCGGGCTGAACTGTGCGGTTCACGTTACATGACTTGCTCTCTGTGAAATCAGAAGTGTTGCTGAGCTGTTCACACCACACGACACAACTTGATTGATCCGCAGGAGGTAACGCACCACACAGTAGTTGTAGTTGTCAACCTACGATTCTATATTGTCTATAAACCACGTTTTGTCATGAAAAATCACGCGATAAAACAAACCGGAAATGACGCGAAACATCATGCACGCCAATACCCAGCGAAGAAGACTAAGAACACAACACACGAATATGGACGTCAGACAGAAACTAGTGCTGCAAACTGTTTGCGCAATGATTTGCTCTGTGAAAAAAAAAAACGCAAAAAAAGAAAAAATAAGATTTACCCGGTGACCCAACCCGATCTCACGACCAAGTCGTATGAATTCGACGAATGATTAAAAAGTGGCTAAATCGTAACAATTCATACGACCTCACTAGTACGAATTAGTACGTTTTGCTAAATCGTACATATTTTACGAATTGGCCAACTCGTACAACCCTTACCCCGCCCCTAAACCTAACCATCACGTGGGTTTAGACAAATCGTACAAATTCGTACGAGTGAGGTTGTACGAATTAGACACTTTTTAATCATTCGTTGAATTCGTACGAATTGGAAGATAGTGTTGGATGACCTCAACCCATGCCTTGCTCCACGCTGTAGCTCATGACATCACGTAAGGTTGAGTCATGCGACAGCTCTGGATATGTAGCATGCTAGATATTTTTCTGGGCTCGGTGAGCCGTCTGCGAGCGTCTTTGATGCGTTGTTGGCTCTTTCATACTGACAGATTGGCGAGCGTTCATCGCCCGCTAATCCCCTGCGATTTGCACGTGATAACACCCTGACTTGTCGGCGAGCTCAACGGTTTCCAAATCAGGCTTAAATCGGGCTTAAAATCATGTAGTGTGAACTAGGCTTAATTCTATTGTAAGAGACCTCCAAAATAAAATTAGAAACCTTTAAAATAGCATAAAAGGGGCACTTTAAATTATGAACAAGCATGTTATGATAAAATCCATTTTTTCTTAAAATCCATTTTTTCTTGTTTTCTTGTGGTTGATGCGCTTTCCAAATCCAAACTCACATGTAAGACACGCACAGTTTCAATTTTTGGTGCACTTACATTGAACTTTGAGACAAGCATGAAGCGGGGAGGTTGTATGAACTGTCAGGGGAGTGCTGGAGTTCACCAGGACCAGAGTTCTTTTGGTTCGTCCTGGTTTTAAGAGCAAAGAGTCAGGCACAGATCTGGCTCTGTTAAATCCTCCAGTGCTGTACTGTTATCTGCACCCACTCATCTTTAGTTTCACTTTCATGAACTTTCAGTTTGTTGTCATCCGTCACATGTTTCTTTGTATTAGTTTCCCACTACTCAGAACTCACACGTTCTGTTTGTCAGAAGTTAGTTGATTATGTGCTGAACCTGAGCAAAGATCCACTAAAAACACCTTGTGACCAAATGGTTAAAAGTAAATCCCGAAAGAATGTTGTAGGAAAAGGCTATTTACAATACCATCACTATTGAAGATAAACAGCGCAAGTTCCAGCACATTAGCATCTGTAACAGTTGAACCCTGCTGTTTCTGATGGCGCTCTGTGGTCTGAAGCAGACTACAACACAAACACACACATCTTTCCGTCATTGCTTTTGTGTGGTATTTATCCACCTGCAGAAGCTGTAAAGGTCTTCCGTGTTGCTTCTATGCATTGCCTTCATGTGTGACTCATCCCATGACCTCTGGTAACACAGAGAGAGGCAGAACAAGAGAGGCAGTGTTGGCCAACATCTCGCGTATACAGGCCTCCTCCGGCCTTGCGGGAGGAAAAAAGATCCTTTTCCTTCAGTGATAGCCAGCCAAAGCAAACAGAGCAAATGAATAGAAAAGGAGGAACACATTGAACACACATTATTAGGTCCAGCCAATTACTTCTGGAGGCCGAATTAAAATGAAGAGATGTCTATAACTGGAATCTACATCCAATCATGGCTTTTACTTAAGTGGTACAAAATGTTTCTGAATGTCAAGCAGCAGTGTGGGAAAATGAGAAAGCAAGAGCTTCTATCCCAGACAGTTCAGCTTGGTATCATCCTCTTGAATGCATGGCCATCAAATGTTGTAGTTACCACCACAACCAACATTTCGATTAAAGAGATAGTTCACTCACCCTCATGTTGTTCCAACCCGTAAGACCTTCATTCATCTTCGGAACATGAATTAAGATATTTTTGATGAAATCTGAGAGCCGGATCACTCCTCCATACTAGTCCATAAGCTTCTTGAGGAATTGAAACTTGCCGGCCTCGAAAAGTTATTAAAGACATCGTTAAAGGACAACTCCGGCGCAAAATAAACCTTTGGTCTAATTACACATTGTTACCTAGTCAACCGTTATCTGAGATTTGTTTTCATGATTGCCGAATGTAAATAGTGTTATCTCTAAAAACAGTTTAGCCTATAACGCTAGTATAACGCTAGTATATAGGGCATAGAGTAATGACAAATAAAAATCGCTTGTTATTACCTCTAACAAGGCTCAAAATAGCCCCACACTAACACGGTAGCATAATAAGGGTCTCTACATTCAAACCGAAGCATTGAGAACTTTGTCTGTGTCCAAACAGTTTAATAAGAAGATATTTTATACACACAGTCAACTTCGCGAATACAGGAAGAAGCCATCTTTGAAAAATAGTCTCTACCAGTCGATCTACAAACTCCGATCCAAGTGCGCTGAACTGTGCAGAATCTCATATGGTCCGTTGTTTTCGGAAGAAACAAACACGAACCGTTTTCTTGTCTTCAATATGTACACGTAGACTACTGTTCGCGCTCACCTTATCACCTTATACACTAGCGTTATACTAGCATTATAGGCTAAACTGTTTTTAGAGATAAAACTATTTACATTCGGCAATCATGAAAACAAATATCAGATAACGGTTGACTAGGTAACAATGTGTAATTAGACCAAAGGTTCATTTTGCGCCGGAGTTGTCCTTTAAAATGGTCCAAGTGACTACAGTGGCTCAATCTTAAAGGGTTAGTTCACCCAAAAATGAAAATTCTGTCAGTATTTACTCACCCTTAATGTTGTTCCAACCCCGTAAGACCTTCGTTCATCTTCGGAACACAAATTAAGATATTTAAGATATTAAGATCGCTCCTGCATACAGTCCGTAGGCTTTTTGGCTCTTGCTGTCCTCGAAAAGTCATTAAAGACATCGTTAAAATAGTCCAAGTGACTACAGGGGCTCAATCTTAAGTTTATCAAACGACGAGAACACTTTTGTGCGCAAAAAAACAACAAAAATAACGACTTTATTTCAAATATTCGTTTATTTCTCCCTCTGCGCGAGTCAGGTTACTAGTTTAATAGCGTAAGGTTCTGTTATTGTACGTCACACGCATCACACACACATGACCAGCGTCGGCCAATAGTGAGCCTACGTGTGACGTAGCTCTACGCAATCACACTACGTTAACTGACTTACAGGCTCATGGAGAAGGAAGTGAATATTTGAAATAAAGTCGTTATTTTTGTTGTTTTTTTGCGCACAAAAGTGTTCTCGTCGTTTGATAAACTTAAAGGGTTAGTTCACCCAAAAATGAAAATTAAGTCATTAATTACTCACCCCCATGCTGTACCAACCCCGTAAGACCTTCGTTCGTCTTCGGAACACAAATGAAGATATTTTTGATTAAATTTGAGAGCTGTATAACTACCACATTGGCTCCTAAGGGACTGCCTCTTGACGGCCCAAAAAGTCAATGAAGAAAATGTTTAAATATCCCAAGTGACTACCGTGGCTCAACTATATGTTTATCAAGCGACGCGAATACTTTTTGTGCGAAAAAACAAACAAAAATAACGAGTTTATTCGACTATTTATTTTCTTCCTTGTAGGCCAGAACGAGACTTCCTTATAGATTTCCACGACGCATGCGCGAGAATTGCGATCTGAAGTAGTGAAGGCTGGTGTGAGCAGATCGCAAATCTCGCGCATGCGTCGTGGAAATCTAAGGAATTCTCGTTCTGGCCTACAAGGAAGAAAAGAAATAGTCGAATAAACTCGTTATTTTTGTTTGTTTTTTCGCACAAAAAGTATTCGCGTCGCTTGATAAACATATAGTTGAGCCACGGTAGTCACTTGGGATATTTAAACATTTTCTTCATTGACTTTCTGGGCCGTCAAGAGGCAGTCCTTAGGAGCCAATGTGGTAGTTATACAGCTCTCAAATTTAATCAAAAATATCTTCATTTGTGTTCCGAAGACGAACGAAGGTCTTACGGGGTTGGTACAGCATGGGGGTGAGTAATTAATGACTTAATTTTCATTTTTGGGTGAACTAACCCTTTAAGATTGAGCCCCTGTAGTCACTTGGACTATTTTAACGATGTCTTTAATGACTTTTCGGGGAAAGCAAGAGCCAGTCCCTCAAGAAGCCTATGGACTGTATGCAGGAGCGATCTTAATATCTTAAATATCTTAATTTGTGTTCCGAAGATGAACGAAGGTCTTACGGGGTTGGAACAACATGAGGGTGAGTAAATACTGACAGAATTTTCATTTTTGGGTGAACTATCCCTTTAAGTTTATCAAACGACGAGAATATTTTTTGTGCGCAAAAACAAAGGTAAATAACAACTTTCAACTTGCGCACGCTTTGAGCGTCTAGTCAGTTAACGTAGTGTGATAGTGTAGAGCTACATCACACGCAGGCTCACTATTGGTCGACGCTGGTCATGTGTGTGATGCGCGTGACGTACAACAACAGATCGCCCAGAGAGAAGGAAATGAATATTTGATATAAAGTCGTTATTTTTGTTTGTTTTTTGCGCACAAAAAGTGTTAAAAATTTTTTTGAGAAACTTAAGATTGAGCCACTGTAGTCATTCAGACTATTTTAATGATGTCTTTAATAACTTTTCGAGGCCGTCAAGTTTCAATCCCTCAAGAAGCCTATGGATTAGTATGGAGGAGTGATTTAGCTCGCAGATTTCTTCAAAAATATCTTAATTCGTGTTCTGAAGATGAACAAAGGTCTTACGGGGTTGGAACAACATAAGGGTGAGTAATTACTTACATAATTTTCATTTTTGGGTGAACAATCCCTTTAATACAGTTCTTTCAAAAGAGAATGAACTCAGGTCTGTGCCACATCTGATACGCGTTGAATCCACATGTACCAGATGTGGCCCGGATCTGTGCCCGGATACAATATGACGTGATATGTGAAGACAAGTGAAAGTCACTTGTAAATCAAGCTGTATTTGTCAAAAAGTTGTACAAATATTCTTGTGTGTTTATGATACATAAAGTCCTAGCAATAAAAAATATTCTCAAATGTCATTTTCACCAGACAATAATATCAAAAAATGCCCATAGTTGAAGAAACATCCTTTATAAAACTAAAGAAAGCAGCAGTGTAATCAAAGAAAGCCATCATCTCTCTGCTTTCTGTTATAATTTCTGTTGACGTCCCACCTACTTTGATGTCCCACCCACTCCATGAGTTGTTGGATACTGGTTTCTCCATCCTTGATTACTTACATGACTCTGCCCTTGTTTAATTTCCACTTCCTGCTTTATTCTTGGCTTAATCCAAACGAAAGACAGCTGTGCGGCGGAGCGAGGGGGCGGGTTATATGAGAGAAAGTGACCTCTTCAACTGTTTTAACAGATTGTGGGAACCAGAGTGTGCGCTGGTGTGTAGCTGATGCGACGCGGTCGTGTTTCCAGCCTTCTGTGTGTGATTTCTGTCCAGGTTAAAGCTCTCCGGCGCAGCCTACAAGCTACAGACCACATTGAGCTTTAAAGCCTCAAATGTGCAGCCAATTTACACGTTAACGTATTGCACATCTAGGCCCAAAGATAAATGAAGGTGGATAAATAGTATATCCATATTTATCTGCATACATACAGTATACTCAGGTAAAGTTATATACACTAAATAGAAAAACCGAAACTACTTGATTGTTTATATTATCTCAAATCGCAAATTAAATTATCACCCAGTTCTTTATATAAAGTTCGATATACATATAAAGCAATATATTCTACATTGCAAATATCAACTGCCTGATTGCTTGTATCATTGAAAAAATAAACTAATGCTACCAGACAGAAATTTTTTTTTGTTTGTTTTAAACAGAAGCTGCATGTATTTGATCCAAAATACAGTAAAAAAAATAATATTGTGAAATACGCTTAAAATATAAAAGTTTTCAGAAGTCTTACACATATGCTAATTTGGTGTTCAATTATTATTGGTGCACAATTATTAATAATGTTTTTTATTATGATCAATGTTGAAAAAAATGTCACTTTTGATGCATTTTAATGCATCCTTATAGCCATGGCTAACGCCAGACCATGTGTCATTGAGAATGAGACGTGGTCTGGAAACCACATGTTCATTTTCTCGTATTTGAGGCGTGGTTTACGAATGCCCATATTATTGGGTTCTACGAATGTCTATCAAATGCGCCTGTACATAACTCATAGCCAATCGTTGTAATTATCCCAGATGTCGTATTTAGAGCGACAGAAAATTAAACGAGGAATACCACGATCAGTCAGAGATGTAGGAGATTTATGTATACAGAAATGTTGGGTCCTTCCAAGTCATTTCCTTCAGAGGCTATAGACAAATGCAACAGACAAGCAAGTGCACGTCATTGCGTCAGTGAAAAGTCCGCTTTCGGCGCTGCAAAAATGTAGCCTGGCTAACACTAGACCCAATTC